TTAAATGCTAATTAGATGAGACTTTGGACTTAGATTTTAAAATTGGTGTTGGAACAAGTTAAGACTTTGGGGACCATTGGAGTGGAAGGCATGTATTTTTAATTTGAGAAAGACATGAATTTGGAGGTGTTGGGGGATATCTGAGATTTAAGTAGTTATGTTTTCCTAAATTTAATGTGTTAAAATTCTCCCTTCCAAGGAGATGGCATTAAAAGTTTGCACCTTGAGGGATGATTAGGTTATGGGACCAGAGTCCTCATGAATAAGATTATGTCCCTTACAAGAGTCCCAAGAAATACTCCTTGTTCTTTCTGCCATGTGACACTAGAGTGGAAAGATGGCTACCTGTGAAAAAAGCAGGACCTCACTAGGCCTGGATCTTCCATGCCCTGATCTTGGACTTCATAACATCTACAAGTGTGACAAGTAACTTTATGTTGTTTATAAGCTGCACAGTTTATAGAGTATTGTACTAAGACAATAGTAAAAGGAAATGTAATAGGTAGGTGAAATCCACACTTCTATATTCATTTCAGCATTTTCACAATAGACAAGATATTGAAACAGTGCAAGTATACATGAACACATGAAAAGTTAAAAGAAATGTGGAATGTGTGTGTGTGTGTGTTAGCATGTGTGTATAATGGAATATTATTCAGCCTTAAAAATGAAATCCTGGCCAGTTGTTTTGCCTTACAACTGTAATCCAGCTATTTGCAAGTCAGAGATTGGGAGGATACGGTTTGATGCCAGCCCAGGCAAGAAAGTTAGAAAGACCCCATTTCAACAGGGTGCAGGGGTTTAATATGCAAGACCAACAAGCTGCTGAGAGTGTAGGTAGTGACACCGGATTGCATTTTTGAAATTTGCAAAGAAAATAGACCTTAAATTGTTCTCAGTACACCCAACAAAAGACAGTATGAGATGATTAGTACATTAATTGTCTTCACTTAATCATTTCGCAATGTATACCTAATCAAAACATCACATTGTCCACATTACAGCACATGATTTTTATTTTTCAATTATACTTAAGTAAATTAAGTGGTGGGAAGATATTGTTGCAACTATCTTTGGAAAACACAACTCACTACATCAACGAATCATAGTAAATTAAAAAGAAATGATGAACTCTACATTAATTCCAAAACATATTCCATATTTTTGAAAGTGTCTTCAAAATCCTGTTTAAAACATCTGAAAATATGTTTCTCTCAGCCTCTTCCCTTATATTTCTTATGTTGTCCTCATACTTCCTCCTTGCAATTTTAATTTTTTCCTCCTTTTGTTGACTTGACTTATTAGCAAATTCCTTTTCTATTAGTTTGATTTCATTATGTAATTGCTCGGTGTAAATTTTCTTTAAAACCTCAGCACGTTGTTTCAGCCTTTCCTCTGTGTCCTTGTAAATGTCATCAGAAAAGTAAGTCCCTCCATTGTCCTGTACCGTCTTCTCTATCAGCTCCACCAGCTCCTGCACGTGACTTTCCCTCTCGGCCCCGTCTGCACTGTTGCTGATGGCACAGTAGCGGTTCCCACACTCGTTTATGATGCTTTTTAGATTCACATCTGCCTCTTTTATAAAGTTCTCAAGGCTTTCATTCTTTAACTCTTCTTTGCGAGTGAATAAGACAATCATATGCTTCATGGCAGGCTTCCCAAAGACCGCCTTGATCAAAGCCAAAGTCCTCAGCTCCTCTTCTGTGAAACGGCCCAGCTGTATAACTATGACGATGGCATGAGGTCCCGGGCAGGAGGACAGCACACACTTGCTGATTTCCACGCAGGTGTTTTCCAACCTCTCCTTGGTGTCGAAGAGCCCTGGGGTGTCAACAACGAGAAGGTCTCTCCCCTTCCATTTCCGGGATGCTTTCTGACAGGTCTTGGTAACAGCATGGGCAGAAATCTTTGAAGGAAATTTCTGTTCCCCAAGGATGGTGTTTGCGGTGGCACTTTTCCCACTTCCGGTTTTCCCTACCAGAACAATCCTCAGAGTGATGTTTTCATTGCCAGCCATGTTTGTGCAAGCAGACTGGAGCTTAGGCACATACAGATCCGAAGGAAGGAAAAGAGAAATAAATGCCAATGTAGGTAAATGGGAACGATTCCCAAACCTTGTTTCTTCTCCCTCTCTCTGAAAATTTGTAATATTCTATTATTGTTACCATCTCACTGCAGATGGGAGCATGAAATGACCTAATCACTATGAAAGAAATAATAGCGAAATTAAGGAGTTTCTCCACAAATAAGAGTACTGGACCAGATGATTTCTCAGGGGGGATTCTTATTTAATTTGTAAAACTCTGATATTCACAATGCTACTTAAACTGTTCCTTCCTAAATAAAAAGAAGGATTTCCCCCTCTTCTGCTACTAACGCACGTGCCAACAATGAGACAAGTGCTCTTGTTCTGCCTAAGTGGCAAGTCAGGACCGAAGGTGAGTACTCCCAAGTTTTGACCTCCCACCACACTGTCAAAGAAGCTATAGGGAAATAGAAATGATTTCCAACAATAATCAAAATCAAAGTAGTCTATCAAACTGACACCCAAAAACGGGGAAAAGCCTTTTACTATGAAAGTCATCTTTTAAAAGTGATAGTGACAACGATATGCTGAGTGTTCAAATATGTTAATAGAGACACAAGAAGTAAGAAAACATGATACATCCAAAGGAGGCTTAGCAACAGACACTAAACAAAAGGCTATCGATGAAATACCTGATAACAAATTCAAAGGATAGCCAGGTGTGGTAGCTCAAACCTATAATCCTACTCACTTGGGAGGCTGAGATCAGGAGGATTGTGATTTGAGGCTAGTCTGGACAAAGAGTTCATGAGATCCCCATTTAACCCACGTCTGGATATTGTGGTGTGTACCTGTCACATTCAACTACAATGGGAAGCCTTGAGTTCAACCCCCAGCACAGCCAAAAAAATTCAAAATTATGATTATTAAGAAACTTGACGAATATAAGCAAATAATTGGACAAAATTAGGAAAACAATTCATTAAATGTATAAGAAAGCCAGTAATGAGATAGCTTGAAAAGAACCAAACAGAAATCTTGGTAACGAAGAGCTCATTAAGTAAAAAAAAAAATACAGAAGAACCATCAACAGCACAGTACATCAAGCAGAAGAAAGAATATCTGAATGTGAAGGCAACTATATTGAAATAGTCCATTCAGTCAAAAAATAAATAACCTTTGGGACATCACTAAATGTACCTTGCAAATATTTGGATGGGAAGAAAAGGGGAAAGACATAGGAAATCTATTCAATAAGATAATAGCTGCCAACTTTCCTACTCTTGGGAAGATATGGGCACACGAATTCAGGAGGCCCATGGGACTCCAAACAGACATGGCCAGAAAAAGATCTTCAGTATGGCATATTACAGCAAAGTTGTCAAAAGTACAAAGCAGAGTTCTAAGAACCACAAGGCAAAAGCACCAAGTCACACTGAAGAGAATATCCATTATGCTAACTGCTGAATTCTTAGAGATATTTTACAAGCACAGGAGGGAATGGAATGACATATTCCAAGTACTAAAAGAAAGTAACTGTCAACCAAGAGTACTATATTCAAAACACCATCCTTCAGAAATGAAGAAGAAATAAAGACTTTTCAAGACAGTAAAACCTAAGGCAATTTATCACCACCAAACCAGCTTTACCAAAAGATGTGTAAGAGAGTCTTATATTCAGAAGCAAAAACAAAGATAGCTACTCATATGAAGACATATTAAATTACAAAACTCACTGGAAGATCAAATGCCTAAAATAGAAGAAGAAAAAAACCAACCACCATCAATATAACAGACCACAAAGATGAACATAAGGGAGGAGGAGTTGAACAAAATAAACAGATGCACTTTACAACTGGACAGGTGTAAGTCCTTACTTATCAATAATAACCTTAAATGGATCAAATCTCCAATTAAAAGATGGAGATACTGGTTAAAGGGATTTAAAAAACAAGACCTGGTGATATGCTGCCTATAGGAAACTCACTTCCACCAGTAAAGACACACTCAGACTGAAAGTGAAAGGGTAGAAAAAGATATTCCAAACAAATGGAAACCAAAAAGTGAGCGAAAAGTAGCTATTCTTCTATCAGAAAAAATAGAATTAAATACAAAAGCTATAAAAAGAGGCAAAGTTTACTAAATAATGATTAAAAGATTCATTCAAGAAGATCATATAACAATTGTAAATGTATTCTCACCTAAGGCTGGGACACCCAGTTTTATAAGAATAAGCAAAATTAGACCTAACGGTAGAAGTGAGTTTGACTATAATATTGGAAGACCTCAATGTCCTATTTATATCAAAGGATATATCATCCAGACAAAATCAACAAGGAAACATCAGCGTTAAACTATACTGTAGACCAAAAGGATCTAACTGACACTTACAGAATGTTTCATTCATCAGCTGCAGAATGCAAATTCTTTTCATCAAACCATGAAACATTTTTTAAAGAACACCCTGGCTACTGATCAATAAAATGCCTGGCAAGTTCTAAAAACCAAAATCATATCATGCATCTTTTCTGACCACAATGGAATAAAACTAGTCACAAACAGCAAATGAAGCCTTAGATACTACAAAAATACATGGACACTGAACAGCGTATTGGATGGGCAATAAGTTTTATTTTAAGAAATCAAAAGGAAAATTTTAAATTTCTTCAAATTAAGAAAAATGGAAATACAACCTGACAGAATTTATAGGATACAGCAAAAGCAGCAGTAAGAGGGATTTATAGTAATAAATGATTGCATCAAAAAATTAAAAGATTTCATATAAGCAACCTACTGGTGCATCTCAAGTTGTGGAAAAGCAAGAATGAACCAAGCCCAAAGTTAGTAGAAGGAAAGAAATAACAAATATCAGAACATAAATGAGTGAAATGGAGACTAATATAAAAGAAAAACAAAACAGTTTTTTTGAAAAGATAAACAAAATCAAGGAACTTCTAGCTAGATTAGCCAAGAAAAAGAGAATACACAAATAAATAGAATTGGAGTGAAAAGGAGACATTACAACTGATACAGAAATAAAAGATCGTTGGAACTACTAAAACAACTATATGCCAACAAGTTGTAGAGCCTAGAAGAAATGGACAAATTTCTGATCATGTATAGGCTACCAAAATTGAACCATGAAGACAGAGAAACCCTGAATAGACCAGTAGAGACTAACGCCATTGAGTCAACATTAAAAAACCTCCCAATTTAAAAAAAAGCACAGGAAAAAATGGATTCACAGCTAAATTCTACCAAACGTGTAAGGAAGAACAAATACCAATGCTTCTCAAACTATTTCAAAGTATTGAAACATGGGAATTTTTAAAAAGTCATTCTATGAGGACAACATTATCACAACACTAAAACCAGACAAGGACCAAAACAGGCAATACTGAAGACCAGTATCTCTGATGAACATAGATGCAAAAACAACCTCACCGAAATATTAGCAAATAGAGTACAACGGCATCAAAAAAGGTGATTTGCCATGATCAGGTGGGATTTATCTCAGGGATGGAAGGATGATTCAGCATACAGAAATCAATAAATCCAATAAATCACATCCACAAAATGAAGGACAAAAATCATATGATCAACTGAATAAATACAGAAAACCCCTCAGTAAAAGTAAATATTCCTTCAAGATAAAAACCATGAACAGACTAGATATAGAAGAAACCAACCCCAACATAACAGCAGCTACAT